AGTACGTACGAATTATTCGTGATATTTGCCCTTATAATCGAGCGCAGAGAGAAAATGCACTGGCTCTTTCCCATAGAAATGCATTACCGGAAGTCAATTTCGGACTGGTTGCTGTCTGCTTCAATTTGCCGCAGCACACTAGCGCTAGTTGATCCTCTAGCGTACATTATAATAACTGTATGCGTTAAACTAAATGACAGTTTTCTTTTAGCAGATACATTTTCACGACCAATATAGGGGAGAAATTCCTTCGATAAATTTAGCAGAAAAATTAATGTCACGAGACATGGTTACGTGAAATTCTGACGGTTCAATGTCATGACGCTTTGATTACCCCTCTACCTTTAGCAGAGAAATTTTCTCGCTAAATTTAGCGGGCCACTGCGCACACAAAGCACACGGGGGAAACGCCTCAAATCTTGCTATAAAAGCTATCGGGGTAAAAAAAAAAGAAGAAACGTGAATGACAACATTTATTTTATGTTCTCTACTGTACTCCTGGTCCTGTCTGCTTGTCTTTTATTTTCCTTGGTTCTTTCGTCAAGATTCATCCGATCAAGCCGACAGGCGGAGCGCCGTCCCGCGTCATTTGCCGGAATTAACGACATTCTCTCCCCGTGAGCTCTCCGGCCATTTCTGATCCCCGCAAGAGAGCTCAGGTGAGAGAGAGAGAGCAATGGCTTTGAGTCGACAAGTTCCAGCTTGTTTTTCTTCTTCTTTTTCTTTCTTTTTTCATCGATTTCCTCTGTTCTCGTCCCATCAGTGGAGTAAAGTGTATGCGCAACGTCGCTCCCCGGAGTCAGTGACCCGGTGTAACATAATCCCCTGATTTAGAAGGATCGGCGCGAAAGGTCTTGCAGATTGAAATGTTCCCGAACGCCTTTATGTATCATTTTTGCCCCCTGCGTTTTTTTTCCTATCTTCTATACATTGATCCCACCTTACGGGAAACGCAAATCAGTTCCCAACTCCGCATTAAAAGTAGTCACCGACGTCATCCACTCTTTCCCGGCCTACGTTATTTTTCTTATTAATATGATTTTAACTTTGAAAGAAGTATGAGAAGCAAATGAGGTTAAATGAGATGGGAGAGGATAGTGAACGCGAGTTCCCGCCTCCACTTTGTACGGTTTGAGGATTTGGGCCACTCGCTAGGAGGAGGGAACATGTAATTTAAGATAGAGGTTATAGACTAGTATGATTTTTGTTTTGCAGGAGCAGACAATTACAGATCCCCTCGGTCGTGATTTAAAAGCACTTTCATTTTTATCTGGTTAGGGGTACTGCACGGTTCTTCTTCTAGGGAATCATCAACCACCTTTCGGATGCCTGGTATGATTGCTCGAAAAACAACACAGATGGATAGGAAGGTTTGTAGAGTAAGACAATAGGACTTTTTCAAAAGTGTGAGTCGTCTCGTAGCAGCTGCGCCAATTATATCATTCTATCATTGTTAGGCAGATCCTTTAATCCTTTATTGGACACGAGCGCTGACGTCAGCGTTCGGTGAAAACACGGGTCCGACCAGGCGCTTTATGCCCAAGAAACGGCGGCCGTCAATGTTGCCTGATGGGGTTTTCAAAAAGGATATATTATCTCAGAGGCGCCCTCGGGCAAACTTTCCGCTGCCTAAAAACCACTCGTAGTAGAAAACAAAGTTGAAATAAACGCTCTGAGGGCTACTTACTATAATTCGAGCCTTCAACTCCGTAATAATATCACCTCGGGAGTTTCGACGCCACATTTCGCCAACGTATGTAGCTCAAGAATTTTATTTGGCCAATGTTTCCTTACTAATGAAAGTAAGACGACAGAAACAAGTTTTAACGGATGTTTTGCCTCGAATTTTCGGGATTCACATCCGTGAGGTTTTTAGATTCTTGCACTACAATGACCACTCTTCAACAAGTTTCTTCTAAGATTTTCAAAAAGAGTGTTTGCAGTTTATTGATCGGTCTCAGATGGAACTTCTCTCAAAGTCTCGACATGACACCAAATTTGTTTCTAAAATGATATGCTTTGTGAATAGTAAAAGTGCCAGCACATATATTTTCTAATCACTTTCAGAAACTGAATAAATCAAATCAATCAATCAATCAATCAAATCTTTATTCAACATTGCACAGATACTGGGGGCGCAGACAAAAAGCCTATAAAAGGCTTGACTAAAGGTTTGCGCCTCCTACAAAAACTTAGCATTGCAACAGGGGCACGTCATAACAAAAATAGATAATCACATTGGAGGTGCGTCTCAATGTTGCGAACAAAACACTGTAAGAGCGGTATAGCAACAAAAAAAAAGAGAACATACTGTGACTTGCAAATGCTAATCAACAGTTAGATTATTTAATAAAGAAGGTAAGTTAAAACGAAGCATATGACGACCGTAATTTGTACGTGTTTGTGGAATAATCCAGTGACAAGTGGAACGTATATCGTGTGTGTGTACCTTACGTTCTAGATGTGAAAAATTTAAAATTGCCATGCTATGTTGCCTAACGCTCATATTGTACCGTTTTAGTAAAATATTGTTAAATAATTGAGGTATTAGAAGTATTTTGTGTGTTTCAAAAACAGACTTTGTATGGGCATCATATGGTATGTTTGCTATGATTCAAATGTTTCGCTTTTGGATTACATGCAGTTTGTTTATGTTGGAGAAAGTCGTTGTCCCGCAAACCATACAAAAACAATAAGAAATTACAAAGAAAAATAATGAGTTGTACAAAAATTTCTGAATACATTGAGGCATAAAATAACGTAATTTAGATAGTACACCTACAATCTTGGAGATTTTTTCGACGGTCATATCAATATGCTGATTCCGTGTGAGATGGTCTTCAAATAATACTCCTAGGTTCTTTACCACTGAAACGATTTGAATGGATTCTTAGCCAAGCTTAAGGTCGAGAGTGGGAACATAAGGATACTTATTTTGGGGTCTCAAGAGTACTGCATGAGATTTGCTTGTGTTTATGGTTAATGAATTTGAAGTGGCCCAGTTTTGAAGCAAGCGCAAACAATGGGAAGCTTATTCTTCGAGGTCAGACACTTGTGCGGCCCTAAAGAATAAACTGGTGTCGTCGGCGTAAATAACGAATCTTGGGTTAGAATCAATGCAAGCAATGTCGTTGGTTTAAAGATTAAAGAGTAAAGGTCCTAATGTGCTACCTTGAGGAACACCGGCAGAAATGGGTTTGAGCTCTGATAATTCGTTATTTATTACTACTTGCTGACAGCGAAAATCTAGATATGATTTGAATATTTGTAAAAATGAACCACGAAAACCGTAGGAATCAAATTTTAAAAGCAATGTTTTATGATTTATGGATTCAAACGTTATTGAAAAATCTATAAACACACCAAGTCTAATTGCTCTGTTTTCAAAAGATCCCAAAATTAGGTCTTTTTGAGTGAGAAGGGCAGTCTCTGTTGAACGACGCTTTCGAACACCGTGTTGGCAGGGTGTCAATAAGCTATATTTATCACAAAAAAGGCGAATTTGTTTGTAAATTATCTTCTCTAGGCATTTTGAAAAAAAGAAATGGAAGAATTGATATTGGGCGATAGTTGGATATATCATTTTTGCTTCCTCCTTTATGAAATACAGTTACTTCGGCCATTTGCATGCTCTTTGGAAAAATTCCTTACGCGAGGCAACTGTTAAATATATGTCCAAGATAGGACTGACCAGATCTATTACATGTTTTATTGGGTAAATTTGTAGATTATGCGGATCACGTGATTTACTGTTGCGGAGAGTCAAAAGGTAACTTATAATTTCATATGCGTCCGTTGGAAACATATAAGCACTGTGGGAATTACGCGAGCCCAAGTACTTCATACAATCTGGATCATGGTCGCTCTTAATTAAGGACACATATTAGTCATTAAAGCAGTCGGCTATATTTTTCAGATATTGTTTCATTATTTGATATAATTTCAATAGTATGATTTATGGCTTTTCTGCCATTCAAAATCTGGTTTATTTGTTTCCAGACGAGATAGTAATCCATGGCTTGCGAGCTTTTCTTGGTATTTTGTATGCTTTATATGGGAAACACTGAATATATAATGATGTAAATGTAGTAATACCAGCATTGTACGCGTTTTCTGGATCAGTGTCCTGATAAACATGACTCCAATTCACATCTTCGGGACTGGTTCTAAAAAGTTGAAGCGTACTATCGTTTATGCTTCGGTATGTTTCATAGCAAGGTTTGTGTCGTGCTATATCGGTGTGACAGTCGGCAAAAAGAAAAGTTGGCAAATGATCGCTTATTTCAGTAGATATTACCCCTGGCAGAGACGATGAGATATGCATGTTTGTAATGAATGCATCAATCGACGTTGATGCCCTCTGTATGCGTGTTGCTTCTTTTATGACGTTTGAAAAGCCATTGCGTTCTAGTATTCTATTTATTTCACGCTCTGCTAGAGATGGGGATAAAAAGTCGATGTTTAGGTCGGCTCCAAGGATTAAATTAAGCTTGTTTTCGCTAATCCAAAATAAATATTTATCAAGAAAAGATAAAATGCTAGAGACGTTTCCGTTTGGGGGGGGGGGGGGGAGGGGGGCGATAGACAACAGAGAACACATTTTGACCACATTTCATGGATAGCATTTCGCAATCACTATCAACTCTTGAAAAACCGGGGATAGCAGAACATTCAAAAGACTTTTTGATAGCTATCTTAACCCCTCTTCCTCTTTTATCTTGGTGATTTTGAAGGAAAGGGCTATGCTGCGGCAGTTCAATTACTTTGCTTATCGATTTGGTACCATGTTTTAGTTATCATAATGATGTCGAAAGTGAAATCTAGCATGCTAAGGAAGGCTGCTATGTCATCATTTTTATTTCGCAGGGATTGAGTGTTTAGGTGGAAAAAGGAAGTGTGCTTCTTGTCTCTGGCGAACAAAGCGCTCACGTAAGCGGGCGTCAAAAGGGAAGATTGCATGACAATTTTGCAATGAGGTTACACCTGGTGCAGTTCGGGTCTCAGATTACTTTATCTAAGTCACCCACGCAAGCCACCCAAACCACCTGCGAAGTCTCGTCCTTCCTAGCAAAGATGCGGCCGTTCTTTGTCCACACAAATTTCCATAGCTTTTCCTTTCTTCTTGCCACTGCCATTCCCAGCAGTTTTCTGAGAGTAGGGCACAAGCTTTCGTTTATGTAGATTGGTACATTTTCTTTGTGCCCCAGATGTCTAGTGGTGACCTTTGTCTTTCTCACTTTCGCAAGCACAGCATCACGTTTTGTGCGATTGTGAAATTGGACAACCACTGTCGGGCATGTCAAGTTCCTCGTCGGAACACGGTGGCAGACGTCAACATCTTCTTGAGTGATAGGCTCATTAATTATCTCATTTATTTTTTGTAGCATGTCAGGAAGATGCTCGTTCTGCTCTACCTGAAGTCCCTTAATGTCAATGTTTTTGTTCCGGGAGTACTTCTCAAGATCAGTTAAACGCCGCTCCATGTCAGACAGTAGTTTTTTCAGCGAATCACACTGGGAGGACAGTTCAGCATTCTCAGCTTTCAGCGTCTTGTTTTCTTCTTTCAGCGCTGTGCACTCGGTAGTCATATCATCGTACTGCTTGCTGCAGAAGTTAATGCTTGACTGTAATTCTCGGTTTTCTTTCCGGAAATCCCGCTCTAGTGAGCTGCACATGGCTGCAATGTCCTTCCGAAAATCTTTCCTTAACTCATCGCGCATCTTTTCAACCGCAGTAGGCACGACCAAGACAAAATTGGCAGAATTGGCAGCGACAGCAGGAAACACTCAGGAATGTTTTTAACAAAACAAAAGTGGTGAGACCTGTATGATGGCAAGAAAGTGTGCTCAGTCGAACTGCTCCCGTTGCCGCTGACGCTGCCAAGTGACGAGATGTTGGTCGCCGGCCCTTAAGTAGGCGCTCTTCCCTGGCGGTGGTATCGCCTCGTGTCACACGGGGGCGGGGAGGTGTCGTTGATAGTGGCAGGAACCCAGTCACCGCTGCCGATGACAACGATGATCCGTAGATCCCAGGACAGCCGGGGGCGAGGGGCGATTTTTGTATGATGGTGAGAAACAGTGCTCAGTCGAACTGCTCCCGTTGCCGCTGGCGCTGCCAAGTCAAACAATCTTCGCAACTATAACCATGGTATGTTAACGGAAATGAAAACAAGCCGTACAGTAGTCGTCCCATTTAAATTACCTCTCAGTTCAGCAAAATGGTCGAACATTTAATTACAAATCACAATACTGGGGTTTTTGTTTTTTTGTTACAAGTCTCAAATATTGAAGACGCGTACAACAATGTTGTGTGGCTAAATTTCTCATCTTAAACAAGTCTACTTGTACGTGTGTGACCTAGGTAAGCTCGCTAACAACGGCACTAACCAAGAAACTTTGTGACATTTAAACCTAAAAATAAAAGCTGTCTTTTCGTTTTATTCTCTTCTTCACCCAACTCGATGGCGTATTCAGAAGTATCGAAGTTTTGGCGTAGTCACAGAGATAAAATCTTTCCGACGATAATCAAATATGGCTCGTAAATTGGGCACGAGTATTTTCGGAGGACTGTTTTTGGGATCGTGGCGATCAATGCCATGAGGAGAATTCTGCTTGCAGCTTGAGTCCACTTACTGCCTTAACAGCAATAGTCGAACAAAACATCTCCACATCCTGGGAAATTACCACTGCCTTCCCTGCCTCTTGGCCGAACGCATATATCTTAATCCAGACTACCATAAACTTCGAGAAAACGGTTGACTGATTTGTCTCTGTTGTAATGGCAATCAAAATGTTGGTCCTTTCAAAACAACGAAGTTTCGATAGGATTGCTCTCAACCAGTGACGGAAATCACTATACGCAGCGTCGTCTTACTGAAGGCGTTCCTCGCCAATATAGGAGTTTTTGAACTGTCTATACAATCAACTTTCAACAACAATAATAAGAATAATATTACTGATGGTGATGATATAATACATTTATTGCATCTAGCAATATGTTAGTAATTTGCTAGTAGACAGTCCAACATGCATAAAATAGCCAACAGTACAAAATCACGTTTTCGAACAAAGCACTACAAGTATGTTCATTTATTTCTTCCCCTTATTCCCTGCAACAACTTTTTGACTAGTTTTTAGTTTGCACTCAACCTGAGCGCACTGAACGTAGAAACTTAATGTAACTTTTCTTTTTTTTTTCAAATTTCGTGTTATTTTAAAAGTTATAGGATGATTAAAATTTCAAAAACAAGCAAAAAATAACCTCCTTCATGACGTCCTAGGTCGTAGCTTGAGTGGCCGTGAACTAGAGGAGGGGTAGTGAGCTCAGGGAGCGCTCACGGCTGCCGCACTCCGTGTCGACTGCTCGAAAGGGCGCCACTAAAGCATGTGTTGGATAGGCTGTATGAAGCGGGTGGCCAGGGCGGCTCGCATTGCGTTCGCTGAGTGATTAAAGACTAATTCGGCATGACACTTCATTGGGCACAAACGACAGCAAACACGGGGTAAACCTCAGTTCAGAACGGGAGACACTTCGCGCTGCCATACCGTCAAACGGACAGATTGCTCGCCAAAAGCCTTCAAAACGCTCGGATCCGGTCGGATCCTCGACTGCAGCGCCGCCGCGTACATCCGGGTCCTTTCTACGCTCGCCGCACGTCGGTGCCTGATCCCACTACCTGCTTCTAGTATGCGCCGCCTTTTCCACCGCTTGGCGGCGGGTTTGTCGACGGGTCATTTCTTGTCTCCATACTTTATAAACCGCATTTGTTTCTTTTATGAGCTCAAATACTGAACAAAAACTGCTTTCATAGATAAATGAAACGGTTCGCGCGACATATGTTTTGTACTTAGACTAAAAAGAAGCTTTTAGCGGTCCTGACCAGTCGTAAGGCCAGGACCGAAGACGTCACAAATCGCGCGCTTTCGGCACTGTGGGTCGCCCTTGTAGGTGGTGGAGGTTCTGCGTCGTCCGGTTAAAATATGACGTACTGATATTTAGTTGCTCTGTAGGTGCCCCCTGGCTTGCCTGAGCCCTAAGACAGGTGGAAACCGCAAAAAAAGTTAAGACGCTTAAATATGATTGCCGGGCCTCTTTAAGACACTAGTGTCCTTAGCCATGTGTCTGTGATAATGGATTCGGCTGTGCACTTAGACACTGTAATTTCTTTTAATCATCATGTTACGAATATTTTTTCCCGTTTCTAAGTGTTCTTGATGCAGAATGCGTATATCGAGCAATTTTAAAAACCCACCATTTCCTTTAATGTTGCTTTGCATTTTTGTGCGGACCTGTTTTGTGTTGTATTCGGTTTCATGGAACAGGAATTGGATAGACGAACACTTCCTCTATTGAGCGAGTTCAAATGGAGTTTATCCGCGTCTTTTATAATCATTAACTACAATTCAAGGCGTTTTAAGATTATGAGGGAATATATCAATTGGCTGGCTTACACTCCTTTGTGTAATAAACGCCTGATGCGTGATATTATGTTTCTGTATAAGGTTGTAATTGGCGTTGTTAATTGCGCAGCGCTACGAAACCGAGTATCTTCAAAGGTCTGGTCGTGTACGATCTTTGCTTTATAATTCTGTTTTACACGAGATTGATAACCAGTCTGCAACTGGGTCTTAACGAATTCCAATGAAGCCTAGATAAGTTTAATATTTATATCTTCGGATGCGAGCATACATTTAGAAAGTGCATTGACGCTTTCTTTTTATTTTCGCATTTAATATTTGTTCGTGTGATGTTAATCTTTCTTTTTCTATTTTTGAGGTAGTTCACCTGTTAAAAGTCGTACAGCTGTTTGTTTGGAACTTAGAATAAAGCCCATGACTAAACATCATCTATAATATTGACTACATAATGATTACGGGCATTCAACATGACTTTCGTATATATCTTTCTTTTGAAATTCAATTATTGCCTTTTACTAACGATTTACTTTATATTCTCGACTGAGGATCCCAAATAAATTTCGTTTTTCATTACTTCTGCAAAGCACTAGACAAGGTTTCCAACAAGCTTCTACTTTTCAAAGTTAGTCAAATTAACCTCAATCCCACCTCAGTCCTATCCTCTCAGGTGTCCTTCAAGGGTATGTTTAAGCCCATTGATACTTCTTATTTGCATTATTGATTTACCTAAAAATCTTTCACCTCCTGCTACCAGTTTGAGGACGATTCTGTTAGCTATGGCGAAGTTGTAAACGAATCCGATTATTTTATTCCTCAAACAGAATCAAACACAATTATGAAATGATGTAACGTGTGGTGCATGACTTTTAACACTAACATATGTAAAACTGCATAGGTATATCAACGTAGCACATCGCCATCGTCATAGTACCTCGGTACCTTATGCAGTAAATAAAGAAAAAAATAAGCAACCAGAAATAAAACCTGCAAACTTAATTTTTTGGTAAAATTCGTTTTCTTGAATTTTTCTCTTAATTTTTTCTTTCCCAAATGTTTTTTTGCTGTTAACTTTATAAGTACATATTTATGTAATAGCTGTACTCATCACATCTCTGTACATTAACAAATTTATTTGATATGACTAAAAAACCTTGAGGTCATCATGGCTCCTATATTAAAAACGACAAATCAAACTGCTCTTTGGTTTATTTTATTTGGAATCTCCTTAGTTTTCCAAAAGTTGAGTGTCCTTTTACATGGCTTTCCTGTCTTGTATAAAAAAATTTGCCTCAAAATTATTTTAAAATATCTCTACAACTGTTTTTCAAGCGAAGTACAAGTATGTTTCCGAAACAAAAAAAAACAGGGTTCCAGTAAAATTTACCTAATGTCGCTCCAGAGTTTTTTTTTTTTATCGTAATGTTTATTATATATTAAACATTGAAAGGACTCGTCGCTCAGTGTTTCTTTGGTTTTTGATGTTTATTTATCAACATAACTAATGGCAAATGATTTCTGATGTCAGTGCTGATAACGCTCCCAATAATCCAAGGTTGAACGTGGTTGCTAACCAAACAAAAACTATTAATGTAGAAGTTCTGGACGTGATGCTTGTTTGTCCAGTTGCAAAAATCGTAAATCCATTAGAATCGACCACCAAATTAATGCTTGTTGATATTTTTTTTTCTAAATATCGTAATGTTCAAATCTCAACTAGGAAAAAGAAAATGCATGTTTTTTACTGCGAAACTTCGTAAGTCATCTAAAAAATCTGTGAAACTGGTCGTCATTCTACAGGGTGAAACAAGGAGACGCCAGGCTCTTTGAATCGACCGGAAAATTCGGTTTCTTAACCTATGCGCGACGACTTTGTGCAGCGTTGCCCACAGATGGTGCATTTTTTTTTTTTTAGTAAAATTTGCGAAGAGCGAACTTACCTGAGGAAAAAGTAAAGAAAGAAAAAAGCTTAGCCCTTATGGAAACGCAGCGACCACACCGGTCTGCAAACAACACGGCGCCGTTTCGCACGGGAGACAAGAGATGGCGCACCAACGCCGCCAACGAACGAGCATACTGCGCCGAGAGCAGGCCTTTTTAGCAGACGATCTTTTCCACTCAAAAGCGACGCGCGTTCCGCAGGCGGCGACAGACGCAGAAACAAAAAAGACGGGCGCGGTAACAGCGAGGAACTGCAGTTCCTTGTCTGCAAAAGGGCCGGCTCTCGGCGTCGTCTGCTCGTTCGTTGGCGGCAGTTGGCGTCGCGACCGCTTGCGCCATCTCTTGTCTCCCGTGCGGAACGCCGC